CTCCAAACCCCGAGTGTCCCGACACAGCCCCAGTCCAGTTTGCCCTCCCTCTGCCGGAGCCCAAGGTGAGTGGCTGTGGCTGTTTCAGCCTCTGTCCCGGCTCTGCGCTGTGGGGCTGCCTGGGAGTGTAACCTGAGGGCGCTGCTCCCAGCTAAGGCCACTGCTGAGCTGCCAACCGTGGGCTCCCAGCCCCGTCTCGTGCCTCGCAAGCCTACCGGGATGGAGTCAGTGTCCCTCGTTGTATGGTCCTCGCAAGCTGCTTTTCTGTTGGTTTTTCCCGTCGATTTGTCTGTGTTATAGTTGTAATTTCAGTTTGGTTCTGGGAGACGGTCTGTGTAGCTCCGTTCACTCCGCCGCCATTTTTTTCTCCTCTCCTTTTAGTTTTTATCCATTTTTGTTTAATGAATTTTAAGGTTCTGTTATTAGATACATACATATTTAGTATTGTTAAATCTTTCTGTTGGCTTGACCCTCTTTTTTCAATGCCTTTGCTTTTGATATACCTGTATCCTTATATTTTACACTATCTCTTGTAAACAAGACATTGCCAAATCTTTTTTCTTCACCCAAGTTGACAGTCTGCCTTGTAATTAGACAATTTCATCCATTTTTATTTAGTATGATTACTAATATGGTTGTGTTTAATTCCACCATGTTATTTGTTTTGTTTACTTTATTTGATCCTTGTTCCTTTGCTTTTCCAGCCCTGCTACTATTTTTTCTTTTTTTTTTATTAATTTATTTTTGTTACAGATGTGTCTCCTTTGTTCCCCATTAACACTCTTCTCCCCATCCCCCCACCCAGTCTGCTGCTTTATTGTCCATGTCAATCGGTTATGTGTACAGGCATATAAGTTCTGTAATTTATCCCTTACCTCTCCCACCACCCCGTCTTCTGAGGGTTGTCAGTCTGTACCCTACTTTCACGTCTCTGGGTCCACCCTGTTCCTTAGACTATTATGTTTATTATATTCCACAAATAAGTGAGATAATGTGATATTTGTTTTTCTCTGCTTGGCTTGTTTGGCTTAGGATAAAACTCTCCAGATCCTCACATGTCGTCTGAAAGGATAAGAGATCTTTCCTTCTTACAGTTGCATAGTACTCCATTGTGTATATGTACCACAGGTTTTTTATCCATTCGTCAACTGATGGACATTTGGGCTGTTTCCAGATCTTAGCTATTGTAAATAGTGCTGCTACAAACATGGGGGTACATATATTCTTTCTGATTGGTGTTTCAGGCTTCTTAGGGTATATTCCTAGAAGTGGGATCACTGAGTCAATTGGAAGTTCAATTTTTAATTTTTTGAGGTAACACCATACTGATTTCCATAGTGGCTGCACCAGTCTGCATTCCCACCAGCAGTGCACTAGAGTCCCCTTTTCTCTACACCCTCGCCAACACTTGTTTGATGATTTGTTGATGGTGGCCATTCTGACAGGTGTGAGGTGATACCTCATTGTTGTTTTAATTTGCATCCTTCTGATGATTAGAGATGTTGAGCATTTCTTTATTTGTCTCTTAACAATTTGTATGTCCTGTTTGGAGAGGTGTCTATTTAAGATCCTCTACCCATTTTTTAATTGGGTTCTTTGTCTTCCTTTAGTGAGTTGTATGAGCACTTTGTATATTTTGAAAATTAACCTCTTATCTGATATATCATTGGCAGTTATGCTCTCCCATACAGTGGATTTCCTTTCCATTTTGATGGTTGTTTCTTTTGCTGTGCAGAAGCTTTTTAGTTTGATGTAGTCCCATGTGTTTATTTTTTCCTTTGTTTCTGTTGCCTTAGGTGATGTAACTGAAAATTTTGCTGTGTATGATGTCCTTAGTTTTTTTGCCTACATTTTCTTCTAGGACTCTTATGGATTCACAAGTCACATATAAGTCTCTTATCCATTTTGAATTTATTTTTGTGTAGGGTGTAAGTTGATGGTCTAGTTTCATTTTTTTGCATGTAGCTGTCCAATTTTCCCAACACCATTTATTAAAGAGGCTGTCTTTAGTCCACCGTATGCTCTTGCCACCTTTGTCAAATATTAATTGAGCATATTGCCTTGGGTCCATTTCTGGGTTCTCTGTTCTGTTCCACTGGTCTATATGCCTGTTCTTGTGCCAGTACCAGGCTGTTTTGATTACAGTGGCTTTGTAGTATAACCTTATATCTGGTATTGTGATGCCACCTACTTTGTCCTTCTTTTTCAAGATTGCTTTGGCTATTCGGGATCTTTTTTGGTTCCATATGAACTTTTGAAGTATTTGTTCTAGTTCTGTGAAATATGTCGTTGGTATTTTGGTGGGGATTGTATTGAATCTATAGATTGGTTTGGGTAATATGGATATTTTAATGCTGTTAATTCTTCCTTTCATGAACAAGGTATGTGCTTCCACTTTTTTATATCTTCCTTTATTTTTTTTTTTTTTCTATGTCCTGTTGTTTTCTGCAAGTAGGTCCTTTACTTCTTTGGTTAAGTTTATTCCTAGGTATCTTAATTGTTTTTGCCGTGATGGTAAATGGGATTGTTTTTTTAGTTTCTTTTTCTGTGAGTTCATCATTGGTGTATAAGAATGCCATTGATTTCTTGACATTAATTTTGTATCCTCCTACTTTGCCAAATTCATTTATTAAGTCTACTAGATTTTTGATGGAGTCTTTAGGGTTTTCTGTGTATAATATCATGTCATTTGCGGATAATGACAGTTTCACTTCCTCCTTTCCAATTTGGATCCCTTTTGTTTTTTCTTCATGTCTGATTGCTCTGGCTAAGACTTCCAGTACAATGTTAAATAAGAGTGGTGAAAGTGGACATCCCTGTCTTGTTCCTGTTCTTAAGGGAAATGTTTTTACTTTCTGCCCATTGAGTATGATGTTGGCTGTAGGTTTTTCATATATGGCTTTTATTATGTCGAGATATGATCCCTCTATTCCCACATTGCTGAGCATTTTTATCAGAAATGGATGCTGGATTTTGTCGAATGCTTTTTCAGCATCTATTGATATGCTCATGTGCTTTCTATTCTTCATTTTGTTTATGTGGTGTAACACATTTATTGATTTACGAATATTGTACCAGCCTTGCATCCCTGGCATGAATCCCACTTGGTCATGGTGGATAATTTTTTTTGATATATTGCTGGATCCGATATGCTAGTATTTTGTTCAGGATTTTGGAGTCTATGTTCATCAGGGATATTGGCCTGTAGTTTTCTTTCTTTGAAGTGTGTTTTTCTGGTTTTGGAATTAGAATTATGCTGGCCTTATAAAATAAGTTTGGAAGTCTTCCTTCATCTTGAATTTTTTGAAATAGTTTGAGGAGAATGGGCGTTAGTTCTTTTTTCAGTGTTTGGTAAAACTCCCCTGTGAAGCCATCCTGGCCTGGGCTTTTGTTTGCTGAGAGAGTCTTGATTACCTCTTTAATTTCCTTAGTTGTTATTGGTCTGTTCAGGTTTTCTATCTCTTTCCAGTCCAGTTTTGGGAGACTGTGTGTCTAGAAATTTGTCCATTTCACTTAGATTCTCGAATTTGTTGCCATATAATTGTTTATAGTAGCTGTTAACGATCTTTTGTATGTCTGTGGTGTCAGTTGTTACTTCTCCTCTTTCATTTCTGATTTTGTGTATTTGGGTTCTGTCTTTGTTTATTGGTGAGTCGGGCTAAGGGTCCATCAATCTTGTTTATCTTTTCAAAGAACCAGCCCTTTGTTTCATTGATCCTTTGAATTGTTATTTTGTTCTCTATGTCATTTATTTCTGCTGTGATCTTTACTATTTCCTTCCTTCTACTTGCTCTGGGGTTTTCTTTTTGTTTGCTTTCTAATTCTTTAAGTTGTGAGGTTAGACAGTCAATTAGAACTTTCTCTTGTTTTTTGAGGTAGGCCTGTAGTGCTATGAACTTTCTTCTCAGAACTGTTTTTGCTGCATCCCACAGATTTTGTGTTGTTGTGTCTTCATTTCCATTGATTTCCAGGAAGTTTTTAATTTCTTCCTTGATCTCCTTGGTAACCCATTCATTGTTTAATAACATGCTATTTCGCCTCCATGTGTTCAAATGCCTTTGCATTTTTTGGTTGCATTTGATTTCTAATTTCATGCCATTGTGATCTGAGAAGATGCTTGATATGATTTTAATCTTCTTGACCTTGTAGAGATTTAGTTTGTGTCCTAACATGTCTTTGAGAATGTCCATGTGCACTTGAGAAGAATGTGAATTCTGTAGTTTTCGGGTGTAATTCCCTGTAGATATCTATTAAATCCATGTGGTCTAGTGCTTCATTTAGAGTCTCTGTTTCCTTGATAATTTTTTGTCTAGAGGATCTATCCAGTGATGTCAGCGGGGTGTTGAAGTCCCCTGCTATGATTGTATTGCTATTGATTTCTCCTTTGATGTCTTCCAGAGGATTTTTAATATATTTTGGTGCTCCTATATTGGCCCTCATTTTGAAGTCTATCTTTTCAGATATGAATATTGCTTGGAAATTTTTCTTCCATCCCTTCACTTTCATCCTGTGTGAGTCTTTTCTTGTAAGGAGGATCTCTTGTAGACAGTATATATATGGGTCATATTGTCTTATCCTATCAGCTACCCTATGTCTTTTTATTGTAGCATTTAAACCATTTACATTTAAGGTTATTATTCATAGATAGTTATTAGTTGCCATTTTTATTTTATGCCTGTGTTCCCCTCTCTCTCTCTCTCTCTCTCTCTCTCTCTCTCTCTCTCTCGTGTGTGTGTGTTTTCTTCTTACAATAGCACCTTCAGCATTTCTTGCAGTTCTGGTTTGGTTGTGGTGAATTCCTTTAGCTTTTCTTTGTCTTTGAAACTCTTTATTTCTCCTTTAATTTTGGTGTACTCAGGTTGCTCGGCCCTAGCCTTGGCCCACTTCCTCCTCCCAGAGAAGACCAGGGATCTTCCAAAACGGCAGGGCCTCCCAGCTGCACAGGGAAAGGCTTGCAGACTAGCTGCTTACAGCAGTAACCGGCTGCTTTCCATCACCAGCACAGGAATCTTCTGCCCTGCGTTTCTGTACTGCTCAAGGTTGGTCGTCCACATTCATGTCCATTCACACTCTCTCTCACACTCGCTCACTCTCTCACACACTCACCCTTGCTCCAATCCTGCACGCTGCCATCTTCCCTCTGCAAAAAAATCCATTTATCTTTAGGTAGAGGCGGTGGGACATTGATGTGAGAGACACATTAATTGGCTGCCTTCTGCATGACCCCGACCAAGGCCAGGGACAAACCGCAACTGAGGTACGTACCCTTGACTAGAATCCAACCAGGACTCCTTGGTCCAAGGGTGGATGCTGTAACTGCTGAGCCTAACCAGTCAGGCCTCCATTACAGAAATTTTTAATTTTGCCGTGCTCAAATCCACCATATCCTCCTTAAGTTCGTTTTTGAGCCCTGTTTAAGAAATCCCAAAGTTATGAGATATTCTGATATTTTCTAATACTAGAGTTATAGGTAATATTACTTCTGTATTTAATGTAATTTTTTTTACAACAATAGTCTTTTCTTATTAATTTTGATTATTATATGTCTGTTAAAGTAAGAGAGATATTTGTTACTATTCCAGTTTCTTTTCTTTTTCTCTGAAGTGATTGATTTTAATTCTAATATGTAACCTATTTCTCTAACACATGAAATATGTTGATGTTATTCCAGATGGCTTTAAGTTTCAAAAAGAAATATGCTTGATAATAGATCTGGTATCATAAGATCCAAAATGTTAGAAATGTTAATGTAAAAATTTAATTTAAAACCTTATTTTCTTGGCAGTTCTGGTATTTCTTTGGCCCTCATTCAAGGCAGGACTCAGAAGCTGGCCCATAAAAGAACCAAGAAGGGTGGGCTGTAGCAGCCGATGTAAGACCCTGACCAGAGGGCCCTTCAGGCAAGGCCATGTACAAGCCCAGCTGAGCAGCTACTTTTATACCCCGAGTTTTGACTGAGTCATCCCACTGCATTTTTCCTTGGGAGGGGCTTCAGCAATGAGAGAAGGAGGTTGTGGCTTTGAGGGACCAGACACAGAGCACCATCAGCTGCTGGTCCTGCCAGTGCTGATTGAGAACCCCGCAGTGCCAGGCATGGTGTCTGGCACCAATAGTCTTGGGGAAAAAAATGGTAAATAAAACCCACAACCTTCCTCACAGAGCTCCACCCTGTTTGTGTGTTGTTAGGCATGGCACAGAATGCAGTGAATGAGATAGCAGATGCAAGCATGCCATATATGGCACACAAAATTGCTGGGCGTGCTGTCAGGGTCCCCATGGAAGGTGAGATGGCAGGCTTTGACCTTAGCGTCCAGGTGGCAGACAGGGCTGGAGAGCAGCAGTGAGTGAGTGCAGAGCCTCTGCAGTCACAGGCATACTTTAGGAAGATCGGTGAGTAAGAGTTCCACAGGGCCTGGCCTCGGGAAAGGCAGGCTGGACCTCTTGGGCACAGTCTGAAGCTACTGACCACAGGCTGAACATCGTCTTCTTCCTCCAGGAAGCCACAGATGTACTTTTAAAGCCTTTCAACTGATTGTACCAGGCCCACCACATTATTAAAGTCAATGATTATGGGCCTTCACCTACACTACAAATACTTTCCCTGACAACACCTAGATTAGGGTTAGATTGAGTAGCTGTGTCCTGGCCTTTCATGGTAATGGATCAAATGTGCATGGAATGAGCTGACAGATAGGTTTTCATCTCAGTGCTAACTTTAGCTTCTGGGTGGGATCCCTGCAGAGTGTGTGCATCTGCTCTGAGCAAGAAGTGCCATCCTTCTGTTATAAGGCTACCCTACCTCACAGAGTAGGTGTACCTTACAGCTGTGGGTTTGGAGAGGCTTAGGTAATGATTAGTGATGAGTTTGGAAGAAGCCATCATGCTGAGTTTAGTAAGTAAGATGGTATCTGACTTGCTAGGAACTTCTCAGTGTCCTCTGAAAGCCTAGCAATGAGAGCCAGCTTCTCACTGTCACCTCTGTGTTATGTCTGCCATCACCTCTGTCTTTACTGTTCCACATTGGAAACTGCAGAGACAGTGGAGGTGGAAACAGTGACTGACATCTCAAATGGATTCCTCTCCCTAATGAGGTATTTGAGTAAACTTTGTGGCCAGAAGGTGGCAGTCTAGTAACAAGAGACTGATGTTTGCCTTGGGTGAGTATCTAGAAGAACTTTCCAGAGACCTCTGAGGTAATGTGGACTGGTGAGGGCCCAGAATGACACAGGTGGACAGTTTCCATCTTAGGAAAGAGCAGTTCCAAATTGCTGTTTTTCTGTGTAGTATATTTTAAATAATCTTTCAAATTTTAGAATAGTTTCAGACTTGCAGAAAAAGTTACAGGTTAGTTCAGAGTTCCCATTTCTCCCACACCCAGTTGCTCCTCTTGTCACCTGACATTAGTGTCGTTTATAGTCATAACTAATGATCCTATATGGATATGTTATTTTCATAAGTCCACATTTTATCCAGATTGTTTTACATTTTACTCTTCCAGGATCTCACGTGACATTTCAGCAGCACATCTCCTTGTACCCTTCTGACCGTGTCAGTTACTCAGACTCTCCTTACTTTGGTAGACTTGGTAGTTTTTAGGATCTATAGCATGCTCCCAAGGTTTCTCATGTCCTAGGGTGATGGGTGTGGGAGGAAGCTCTCAGATCCGTCTCCATCAGAGCAGGATCTATGCCTCACACTATTAAGGGTTTTGGTACTGATTTTTGTCTTTGTTGTTTACTGACTGCCACCTTCTGAGAGGGTCCTTCCCTGGCACCTAATTAAAGACATCCTGGTCACCCAATCAATCACTCACTTTCTGGAAATCTAGCCTCACTTGCCCTCTGGTGCCACCCCTACAGCCCAGTTAGGTCCTCCGTAGTGTTTCCTCCTTCCTGGAAAGTGAAATCATCTTTAAGATTCCTTGAAGCTTGAACAATGTATGCTCAGTTTGTTTAACAGAGATAGTTAATGACTTTAGAGACAAAAACCTTCTTATACTGAACTACATTAATTTTTCCCAGAAGATATTTCAAAGTATTGAGGTAACTGAGTCAGCAACTCCAGTGTCAACACAGAGCACTGGGGGTGGCCAAAGCCTTGTGCTGGGGCAGGATCCCGCTGAGACCATGGCTTGTCCTGAAAAATATCACTGGAAGAAATATCCTCCACTTTGACTTTCTGGTTGTTTAATACCCTTTTGTTAAACATTCATAGAGTACACCTCTGTCAGTATATATAGCTATAGGTGTTAAAATGGACACCAGAGCACAGTCCTGGGCACAGTGTGAGTGGATGGACCTTGCTCTCACAGACACTAATCAGGGAGATCCTGGTGTGAGGAGATGCTGAAAAAATAAACAACAGGGCAGTTTCAAGCAAGTTTATTAAAAGGTGTGCAAATGGAATGATACTAGGATTGCTGCCAATGGAAGGGCCAAGTGCAGAACCTGTTGCCATACTTAGCACTGGGGTACAGCCCTTCTGCATGACCCATGCAGGTGGGGCAGAGAGGTAGTTAGGGCCAGCATGCTGGGAGGGGTGTGCAGAATGATGACAGGTAGAGTCTGAGTGAGGCATTTCCTCACCTCTTAGACCAGAGAGTTGCCATTCTCATAGGCCAGTGAAGTACACTTTGCCATTGTATCTTCACAGATAATGCTTTAACGTCATGTATCAGGAGGCCTCTCCTTTAGGTTTATAATAACTAGTAGGACATTCTCGCTGTTCTGCCATGATAGCTTCCAACACAGCTCTGATGATGGTCTTAGAAAAGGATTTTTCATATGTAACATCTCAGTGAACAACACTTTAGATCATGCAGGAACAATGGGTACCATGCTAGTGAAGAGGCCCCCCAGGATGTTGGAGTAGATGGAGCTTTAGCAAGTCTAGAACATAAGTTATGACATTAGTTTACAAGGGTTTCAAATAATGTTTTCATAAAGAATGGACTAGAACAGAAAACATTTGAATGCATGGTTCACAGTAATGTTTTGTCTTGTGAGACTTTTCTAGACCTGGAGATGAGGTTACTGCAAGATGTGCCTCTCACTTGCATAGTTAGAAATGGGCCCCGGGGAGGGCTGGGGTCTCGCCTCCAGCAAATTTACTCCTCTGACTGCTTCCTGAGCTTATTCCATTTGGCCTAGGCCCTTTTCCTCCCATGACCCTGAGAAACCTACTTTCTGTTCTGATTCCATCCTGCTTTTGGCCTGAACAAGGCTGGGCACTCTCCGGGAGTATTATTTATATGAGTTGGTGTTTTTGTTTTTGTTTTTGTTTTTGAAAGTATTACAAATGTCCTCCTTTTCCCCCATTGACCCCCTTCTTCTCGCTCCCACCCACCTCCTGCCTTCCACAGCCTAATGTTCATATTGATTGGTTATGCATATATGCATATAAGTTCTTTGGTTTATCTCTTTCCACCCCTACCCCCTACCCTCTGAGGTTTGTCAGTCTGTTGCCTACTTTCATGATTCTGGGTCTCTTTTGATCGACAGCTTATTTTGTTCATTATGTTCCACAAATAAGTGAAATCATATGGTACTTGTCTTTTTCTGACTGACTTAATTTGCTCAGCATAATACTCTCCAGGTCCCTCCATGTTGTCTCAAAGGATAAGAGATCTTTCTTTCTTACAGCTGCATAGTATTCCATTGTGTAAATGTACCACAGCTTTTTTATTCACTCATCTACTGATGGGCACTTGGGCTGTTTCCAGATCTTAGCTATTGTAAATAGCGCTGCTATGAACATAGTGGTGCAAGAATTATAAGAAATAAGAATAGCGAGGGTATTTGTGTGCATGTTGGGGGTGGCTGAACTCTCTTGCCAAAGAGGGGTTGGCACAGTCATTGTATCCTTAAGGCCACCAGCTGGACTCCAGCCCCTCAGTCCCATTGAGAGCCTTACCTCAACAGATTTGCTTCTCCTCTCCTTTCCTTAGCAGCTGATTCAGGCCACTCTGATGAAAGGCAGCTCTGCTCACCACCACTAGGTTTGGGGAAGGATGTGTGGATCACATGTTGCCCTGCTGTGACCCCCTTTCCACTAAAGCAGAGAAAGCTGCTCAGAGGAGCTGGTGCTGGTTCTCAGATTAGTGCACTTTCTACTGCCTGCTCTGCTTTCCAACATCCTAATTAGTAAGTGTGCTCTGTACCTGAGGTAGTCTATGCAGACGAGCAGGCAACAAACTAATTGATGCCCTTATCTGGGCTCACAGTGCCAGGGTATGGGTGGAGTCAGTTCTTTAAAGGACAGGTGACCACTGTGGGAGGGGTTGTGAGCCACCTGATTAGCACTGTCTCTATGCAGGCTGCCCTTCTGCTCCTTGGGGACATTACCCAAGCAGGTGCTGTTTGAGCAGAAACCCATTCTGAGCAACGCCTGGCCTAGCAGCTCTCAGGCTCATCCACCTCATGGCTCCACAGTCACCATTGTTTGGCCAGCCAGCTGGCTATCCCCTGTGCTTTCCACATCTACAGTGTCCTATGGGGTTCATGAGTATTCAACAGTACTGTCTTAAACTCCAAATCTATAGTATTTCCTCATAAAGAAAATGACCACTCCTGGATAGGGGCCTTTCTTCTGAGAGCCAATTATAAAACCAGATCCTGGGTATTTAGCTCTTCACTGGGATCAGGGTGGGATAAGGAAACCACCTTGGACTGTAGTGGAAGGCAAGGCTTGGGCAGGCCCTACAGCTGCTCAGCTTAGCACAGGCTCAGAGAGTGGACCAACAGGCACAGAGTCTACAGGTGTAGAGATGCTGGTGAGGACATTTCATTGGTACAGAGAGCTGAGGTGGTCTTTGTAAAATTGTGAGTGCTTTTGCGTTGTGTGCAAGTTATGGACCATGTCACTGCTGTTGGACTTTCATTTCAGCATCCAGGCCAGTAGACTGCGCCAAGCACTGAAAGCCCTCCTTGGGGACCCAGGGAGGCAGACAGCTTCAGCTACAGATGAGCAAGCCACTTATTTCCGAGGAGGACACCCAGGAATTCAGAGAAGTAACACGTGTTTGGGGGCTTCATCTTCTCTTACAGGTAGATGACTCCCTTCTCTTTTCTGCGTGAAAAGGACTCTCCCTGGCTTGTGCTTGCTTCTCACCCATAGGAGCTGCTGGGACACCCACCCAGTTTGCTTTGCTACCTACAGCTGGAGAAGGGAAAGAAAGGCAGTGCCCATTCTGAGTCCTTGTGTTCTATGCATGCAGATGTCCACAGCCCACCTGTGCTTCCACTCATGTATATATGTGTACATGTGCAATTATGTACATGCATATGGGTTGTGTGTACATGTGCTATGAGTTGGTGTACATTTGTGTGCTATGTGTAGTATACATGTGTATGCTGTGCATGCAGTATGTATATGTGTGTACAGTTGTGTGCTATGCCTTGCTGAGCTTATACATGTGTGTGCCATATGTGCTATGAATCCATGTGTATGTATTGCTGTGTGTATGCTGAGTGTGTGCTGTATGTTGGTGTATGCATATGTGTGCTGTGAGCCTATGTAGCATACATGTGTGTACATGTGTACTCTAAGTGCTGTGAGTTTTTGTGTATATGTGTGTACACATGTGTGCTGTATGTGTGTGTGTGCATCCAGTTGAAGACGTTTGTTCTGTCATCTCTCTTAAGTGATCAACTGGATTCTGAAGAGGCTTGCCACTGTGTTCTGAAAGTTGGAATTTAAATAATATTTTATAGAAATACTAATTTTCCTATGTTATTGCTGGGCAGTACAATGGCTTTTTTTGTTTGTTAGTCCTGACCCAAGGATATTTTTTTGTTGACTTTTAGAGAGAATGAAAGGGAGGGAGGGAGGGAGGGAGAAAGAGAGAGAGAGAGAGAAACATCCATGTAAGAGAGACACATCCATTGGTTGCCTCCCACATGTGTCCCAACTGGGGCCAGGGGTCAAACCATCAACCCAGGTGTATGCCCTTGACTGGGACTCAAACCCACAACCCTTCACTGTGTGGGCTAACACTCTAAAACAAGAACTATTTCCAAGACACATAGTAATCAAAGTGCCAAAAATTAAAGACAAAGAGAGAATCCTAAAAGCAGCAAGAGGTAAGCAACAGGTTACCTACAAAGGAGACCCTATAAGGCTCTCAGCTGACTTCTCACAAGAAACACTACAGGCCAGAAGGGAATGGCATGAGGTAATCAAGGTCATGAAAAACAAGGATCCGAATCCAAGACTACTGTACCCAGCAAGGCTATCATTCAAAATAGAAGGTCAAATAAAGAGCTTCCCAGACAAAAAAAGGCTAAGGGAATACCCTAGCACCAAACCAGCACTGCAAGAAATGTTAAAAGGACTGCTGAAATTAGCAGGAGAAATAGGAAGAAAAATATAACCACACTGAATAAAAATAGCAATAAATAAGTACATATCAATAATCACCTTAAATGTAAATGGACTGAATGCTCCCATAAAAAGACACAGAGTAGCAGATTGGATAAGAAAGCATGACTCATGTATATGTTGTTTACAAGAGACTCACATAAGTTGAAAGTGAAGGGATGGAAAAAAATCTTCCAAGCAAACAGAAAGCAAACAAAAGCTGGGGTAGCAATACTCATATCTGATAAACTAGATTTCAAAATGAAGGCCATAACTAGAGACAAAGAAGGCCACTACATAATATTGAGAGGATCTATCCAACAGGACGATATAACCTTGGTAAATATATATGCACCCAATATAGGAGCATCAAAATATATTAAACATCTTCTGCCCTGGCCGGTTTGGCTCAGCGGTTAGAGCGTCCACCTGCAGTCCGGAGAGACCCGGGTTCGGTTCCCGCTAAGGGCATGTACCTTGGTTGCAGTTTGTCCCCGGCCCTGGTTGGTCGTGCGGGTGACAGCCACTCGATGTGTCCCTTTCACATCGATGTTTCCCTCTCTCTCTCTTCCTCTCTCTCCCTCCCACTCTGTCTGTACAAAAAATGGAAAAATGTCCTCGGATGAGGATAAAAAAAAAAAAAAAAATATATTAAACATCTTCTGGAAGACTTCAAAGGAGAAATTGATAGCAATACAATCATAGCAGGGGACTTCAACACCCCGCTCACATCACTGGATAGATCCTCTAGGCAAAAAATTAGCAAGGAAATAGAGACTCTAAATGAAGCACTAGACCAAATGGATTTAATAGATATCTACAGGGAATTACACCCCCAAACTGCAGAATTCACATTCTTCTCAAGTGCACATGGGACATTCTCAAAGATAGACCACATTTTAGGACACAAACTAAGTCTACAAGTTCAAGAAGATTGAAATTCTTTCAAGCATCTTCTCAGATCACAATGACATGAAACTAGAAATCAATTGCAACAGGAACATGCAAAGACATTTGAACACATGGAAGCTAAATAGCATGTTATTAAACAATGAATGGGTCACCGAGGAGATCAAGGAAGAAATCAAAAACTTCCTGGAAACCAATGAAAATGAAGACACAACAACACAAAATCTATGGGATGCAGCGAAAGAAGATTTGAGAGGGAAGTTCATAGCACTACAGGCCTACCTCAAAAAACAAGAAAAATCTCTAAGAGACTATCTAACCTCACAACTTAAAGAACTAGAGAGCAAACAAAAAGAAAACCCCAGAGCAAGTAGAAGGAAGGAAATAGTAAAGATCAGAGTAGAAATAAACCACATAGAGTCAAAAAAAAAAAAAAAAAACACAATTCAAAACATAAATAAAACAAAGAACTGGTTTTTCAAAAAGATAAATAAGATTGATTGAACCTTAGCTAGACTCGCCAAGAAACAGAGAGAACCCAAATACACAAAATCAGAAATGAAAGAGGAGAAAGAAATAACAACTCACACCACAGAAATACAAAAGATCCTTAACTACTATGAAAAATTATATAGCAACAAATTCAACAATCTAAGCGAAATGGACAAATTTCAGGACATACAGTCTCCAAAAACTGGACTGGGAAGAAGTAGAAAACTTGAACAGACCAATAACAACAGAAGAAATTGAACAAGTAATCAAGACTCTCCCAGCAAACAAAAGCCCAAGCCAAGATGGCTTCACGCGGGAGTTTTACAGAACATTCAAAGAAGAACTAACACCCATTCTTCTCAAACAATTTCAAAAAATTCAAGAAGGAAGACTTCCAAACTCATTTTATGAAGCCAGCATAATTCTAATTCCAAAACCAGAATAAGACACTACAAAGAAAGAAAACTACAGGCCAATATCCTGAACAAAATACTAGCAAATCGGAACCAGCAATACACCAAAAAATTATTCAGCATGACCAAGTGGGATTCATCCCAGGGATGCAAGACTGGTACCATATTCGCAAATCAATAAACCACATAAATAAAATGAAGAATAAGAACCACATGATCATATCAATAGATGCCGAAAAAGCCTTCGACAAAATCCAGCATCCATTTCTGATAAAAACACTCAGCAGTGTAGGAATAGAGGGATCATATCTTGACATAATAAAGGCCATATATGAAAGACCTACAGCCAACATCATACTCAGTGGGAAAAAACTAAAAGCATTTTCCTTCAGAACAGGAACAAGGCATGGATGCCTACTTTCGCCACTCTTATTTAACATAGTACTGGGAGTCTTAGTCACAGCAATCAGACAGGAAGAAAAAATAAAAGGGATCCAAATTGGAAAGGAGGAAGTGAAACTGTCATTATTAGCATATGATATGATACAATATGTAGAAAACCCCAAAGACTCCATAAAAAATTTACTAGACTTAATAAATGAATTTGGCAAAGTAGCAGGATACACAATTAACGTCAAGAAATCGATGGCATTCTTATTCACCAATGATGAACTCACAGAAAGAGAAACTAAGAAAACAATCCCATTTACAATTGTGGCAAAAAAATTAAGATACCTAAGAATAAACTTAACCAAAGAAATGAAGGACCTATTCACAGAAAACTATAGGTCATTGAAAAAAGAAATAGAGGAAGATATAAAAAAAGTGGAAGCCCATACCCTGTTCATGGATCGGAAGAATCAACATCATTAAAATGTCCATACTACCCAAAGCAATCTATAGATTCAATACAATCCCCATCAAAATACCAACAGCATACTTCACAGAATTAGAACAAATACTTCACAAGTTCATATGGAACCAAAAAAGACCTCAGATAGCCACAGCAATCTTGAAAAGGAAGAACAAAGTTGGAGGGATCACATTACCAGATTTCAGGTTATACTACAAAGCCACCGTAATCAAAACAACCTGCTACTGGCCCAAGAACAGGCATATAGACCAGGGGAACAGAAGAGAGAACACAGAAGTGGACCCAAGGCAATGTGCTCAGTTAATATTTGACAAATGTGGCAAGAGCATACAGTGGAGTAAGGACAGCCTCATTAATAATGGTGCTGGGAAAATTGGAAAGCTACATGCAGAAAAATGAAACTAGACCATCAAATTACACCCTACACAAGAATAAATTCAAAATGGATAAAAGAAGGAAATGTTACTCATGAATCCATAAAAATCCTAGAAGAAGCTGTAGGCAACAAAATTTCAGACGTTATACACAGCAGAATTTTCACTGATACATCACCTAAGGCAATAGAAACAAAGGAGAAAATGAACACATGGGACTACATCAAATTCAAAGACTTCTGCACAGCGAAAGATACAATCATCAAAACGGAAAGGCTACCCACTGTATGGGAGAGCATAATTGCCAATGATATATCAGATAAGGGGTTAATTTCCAATATATAGAGAGTGCTCATACAATTCTACAAAAGGAAGACAAAGAACCCAATTAAAAAATGGGCAGAGGAACTGAATAGACACCTCTCCAAACAGGACATACAAATGGCTTACAGACATATGAAGAAATGCTCATCATCAGTAATCATCAGAGAGATGCAAATTAAAACAACAATGAGTTATCACCTCACACCTGTCAGAACGGCTGCCATCAACAAATCATCAAACAACAAGTGTTGGGGAGGGTATGGAGAAAAAGGGACTCTAGTGCACTGCTGGTGGGAATGCAG